CAGGAATATCAACCCCCTATTCAGCCTGAAGATGTTACAGAAGATGAATCTTTGTCCGTCTGCAACCCTTAGGGTCATAAAAGGGAGGGGGAAACGTCAGAGGCGTGTGAACCAGAGCAGCTCCGTCTTAAACAGGAGCTGGGTGAAATGAGGCTGAAACCTCCTGGGCTGCATTCTAAGTCACAGGGTGAGACTGGAGGGCAGCACGGGTACAGGTCCTAAAGACCTTGATTACAAAGCAATTTGCAGTAAAGGAACCGGCCACCCCACCAAAACCAAAATGGTGATGAGAGGGACCTCTGACTATCCTCACTGCACTCCAGCCAGCACCATGACAGTTTACAGATGCCATGGCAACGTCAGGAAGTTACCCTATATGTCTAAAACGGGGAGGCATGAATAATCCACCACTTGTTTAGCATAAAATGGGCAACCGGCAGCCCTCATGGCTGCTTTGTCTACAGAGTGGCCATTCCTTCATTCCTTTATTTAATAAACTTGATTTCACTTTGCAAAAAATAATAATAAGTGAGAGCTAAACAATGAAAGAGAACACATGAACACAGGGAGGGGAGCAGCACACACTGGGGTCTGTCGTGAGCCAGGGTTAGGGATGGCATCAGGACAACTGGCTAATGAACACAGGGCTGGACACCAGGTGACCGGCTCATAGGTGTAGCAGACAGCCGTGGGGTGTTTACCCTTGTAACAAACCTGCACATCCTGCACATGTATCCCGGAACTTCAAATAACGTTTAAAAAAACAAAATAGGGCCGGGCGCGGTGGCTCAAGCCTGTAATCCCAGCACTTTGGGAGGCCGAGGCAGGTGGATCACGAGGTCAAGAGATCGAGACCATCCTGGTCAACATGGTGAAACCCCGTCTCTACTAAAAATATACAAAAAAATTAGCTGAGCATGGTGGCGCGTGCCTGTAATCCCAGCTACTCAGGAGGCTGAGGCAGGAGAATTGCTTGAACCCAGGAGGCGGAGGTTGCGGTGAGCCGAGATCGAGTCATTGCACTCCAGCCTGGGTAACAAGAGCGAAACTCCGTCTCAAAAAAAAAAAAAAAAAAATAGCTTGGGTTCATGGGTTTCTAAAAGGAACCAGGGTCCCACTGTCCTTCTGTGGCTCCCTTAGGAACCTCGATACTCAGGGCTAAGGCAGCAGCATCTTTAGAACCAAAAACACAGGGAAGATGGCTGAAAATGGGGTTCACTTTTTTCCCAGGCCCTTTCTCCTTTCCAGGTACTTGCATTTGGCCTCCCTCTTTTCTCTTTCCCATTGTTGGATATTTTCACAGAACTCACCTCAGCGCTGATGGGGTGAGGAAGGAAGAAGGGCGGTCTGGTCATGCCCAGCCACCCCCACAGGCAGAGGACGCCCAAGAGGGAAGCTTCCCGGCAAGATCTCAGGGAGCTGGAGGACTTGGAAGATGAGATTCTTCATCTTCATATGTTCCCCGCAGGCTCGGGGCCCCGCTCGCGGGTCGCAGGAGGGACAGGGAAGCCTGAACACCAGCATAACCCCAGGTGGGGTTATCAGGCAGCTGCCCCACACCCTGGACACGTGTAGGGGGAAAAGCAGCACCAGGAATGTGTCTCCCCTTAGTCCTGCCCAGACCCTGGTGTTGGTGAGTTAGAGGCTGTGCACATAACCAGCTTCTCCATCAGGCCTGGGCTGGGGGTCGCTTGAGACTTTTTCCAACTCGTTGCTGGCACCTTGGCGGAGCTGGCCGCTGTGAGCTCTGCCTGGGCCTCCAGCTGCGGGGGTCGAGTGGGGCGAGAGCCCGTGCTTGGGCTGCCAAATGGACCGTGAAACGGCATCCTCTGCTGCCCTCTGCCGTCCAATCTCCTTAATTGCAGACGGCCTAAGAGGTCTAAGAGGCTTCTTCCAAAGGGAGCTGGAAGAGCGTCCTGCATTCAGACATAAGTTCGCTTCCACCTGCTTTTATGAAGTTTGCATCATTTTATAGGCATAGATAAGTTAAATGACAATATTTTAATTAAGCAAACCTCAATGATAGTCCCTGGGAGCTAGGACTTGCCTTTGACCTAAGACACAAACGTCTGCCTTCTCCCATCAGGCGAGGACCTCGCAGCATCAGGCCTGGCTGAGGGTGCGCTGTGAAGCTTTCGCTCATGTGCTGGCAAGTGCCGGGACACACATTCTCATGTGCAGCGCCTGCAGATCTATGCAATCGAAAAACACATCCAACGGCCAGAAAACGTAAGAGCCCTGACTGAACTTAGGTCTCCTCCCAGATTCCAGTTTTTTATGCAGAGTCGCTGGACTCATCATCTGGAACGCTACGTGATTAAAGTTTGGGAATGTCTGAGCCTCCCAGACAGCAGATCAACCACCAATTAAGGCTTCAAGCTCTATGACCCACGGGCCCCACTGCTCCCTCCCCACCAGGCGGGGTGTGGCTAGGCGGACCCACTCCGCTGCACTGGGGTGGGAGCACCAGCCAAGCATTGGGTGGCTTGGGCCAAGCATGAGGGCTTGTCCTATCTGCAAAGACACCCTGCAGCCCTGCTTTGTGCCAAGCCCTTCTCTGCATAGGGACGCGACAGGGGTCAAAGAGATGCCAACTCTAGCCCCTAGGGTGCTGGCAGTATCTTTTTAATTTTCCTACAGCTCTCCAGATGCTTCCGTGGGGTGGAACCACATAACTCTTGGATGGCTTGGCCATCAAGTGGTTTATCTATGGCCCTAAAGAGAAAAGGACACCCAATGTCTGCAGAGTTCATTAGACAGTCCAGGAAGTGTTTCCTGGCCTGCATGCTTTCTGTGCAGTTTGCACGGTTGATTCCATTTCCCTCAGGTGGAGCAGCTTCAAGGTCTAGGGGAACAGGGCAGAGCAACAGTGGAAGGTCGGGGGACAATGAAGTGGGGTCACTCCCAGGTGCTGAGCTCTGGCAGCCACTGGCACCAGGACAGATGGTGAAATAAGTGATATTTCCCAAGCATACAGAGTTATTAATTAGAGTCAGCTATTTACCAGCTAAGTGCTGAAAGGGTCCATGGTAATTAAAAGAGCTAATCAGATTTTCAAAGGGCACCAACACCATGTAAACATAAGGGGATTCTATGTGCTGTTCTCAGCATGTCATCTGAAGTTGCTGGGGTGAGGTGTTGCTGCTGCTGCCCCTTCTGGTGTAGAAAGCACCACGCTGTTGACTGCTCACCCCAGGGAAGGATGGAGGGACCCAGAATTAACGCCAGGGCCTCCCAGCACGTGCTGCTGCACACACGTTTGCACTGTTGTTTGTAAGTAGATGCAGGTCTTCTGGCTCCTGATTTTGTTTTAGTTTTAATCATCCAACGTGCTACTGAGTTAGTGTCAGTGTTTCTCTACTGCCTTTTTTTCTATCAGTGGTTATGAAACACGCGTTTATCGTGTGCTGTTTGCCTTCAGATCCATTTCACAGCGGCCCCTGCAGACGCTGCTTCCCAGGCTTGTCTCCTGACTCCCATTTAGGTTCGGCCAATGGGAAGTGATGTCAAGAGATGGAAGTGAGAGGGAGAGGAAATTGAGAGCACTCCTCCCCTCACCCTGACCCCTCGCCTCCGATTGGAGCCCCTGGCATGAGCTGCCCCTCCTGGACCAGCTGGGTGTCATCCCCAGGTCTAGCCAGGTGACCCTGCCTCGGACCTAGTTGCCACCGTGAAACTCAACTCCGGGTTCCTCTGTGGCTTCTCCAGATCTGACCGTTACAGCAGCTGCAGCTAATTTCTGAGGTTTGAAAGTAACAGCAAGTCACATGAGCGGGTTCACAAAATACAGAGAATTCAGGAAATTTCACACTAAATTATTACAGGGTCCTGTTCTGGTGTCCCTAGAAGTAGAATCTGAGACAAGGCTTTGTGAGAAGATTTATTAGAAAGTGCTGCCAGAACAACAACAACAAAAAGAGGCAGGGCAGTGGAAAGGTGAGATCAGGGAGCCAGGAGCCACGTGGGTGCTGCTGGCCTCCTCCCACTGGGTAGTTAGTTCTGAGACAGAGTCAGAGGCCGCACTGGCTATGAAGGAGCTGGAGTATTCATGCCCTGAGAGCATGCCTCCTATTGGCTGAACCTACAAGGAAGCTAGAAGGCAAAGGCTCCTGGGAAATGTAGTTCCTTTCACTGTAGCACATAGGCACAGGTGGAGAGTGGTACCCTACCTGCCATTTAGATGTCATTTCTGCTTCATTCCACTCAGTTAGACCTCAGTGCGATGGTCAGACTGGGTGTTTAATAAACCTTTACTGAATTATCAACTACTCATGAAATGGAGAAAAATCCAAACAAGTGATATTAAGGACTTTAGTCCTGTTACCTCAAATGTAATAAAGTTCTTCATCCTCAGCAAGACGACCTGATTGCACAGTTTCCCTTATTAATCAAAGTATGTTTATATTACTGATGACGGAGAGCTGTAAGCTTCTCCACACAACTTTCTCAACCATTTATGTATAGATGGTATTCACATTTAGTCTTGCACGTCTAAAAGCTGGAAGAAGTCCCTCGCAGCAACAGGACAAGGGATGGCACAGGTGTCCTCCAGTCTAGCTGGTAAAGTCAGAACTAACTTCCTGCAAAAGAGAATCAGTCCACACTGAGATGGTAAACTGGTCCAGGCCTGCCTGGTTATCATGCGGGGTTTGGAATCCATTCGTACTGAATGTTCTTATCTTCTGTCTTCCCATCCTGTCTCCAGGCATCGCTCCAGGCATCCCTCTCTCCTATGGTTCATATGAGGTAGCCAGCATGTACAGGATATGGCTTCATTTTCCTGCTGTGATTTCAATAAAGTTAATTCATTATTTGGTAGAAAATGTGAAATTCAACAAAAATATTGCTTTTCTTACTAAGCAAACTAAGCCTGGTCTAGCTGGAGATGGGATGTAACGTTTTCTTGGTGGTGTGCCCTCAAACCTGCAGGTTTCCATAGCCCTAACGCTGTAGCTGTGGACCACGGGGAGCTGGCATTGTCTCCAGGGTGAGGTCGCCACTCCCGAATCCTTGCACTGAATGGGACCAGCTATGTAGACTCATCAACTGTGCCAGTCCCTTGTTCCTGGTCTCTGGAGCTTTAATTTGGGAAAGTGACCCATTGGCTTCTAAGGACCACAGTGAGAGAGGGCAAGCTTGAATGCCCTTCACGATGGAGAGATGTGGGCAGGCCAGACAGACATCGGTTCCTCTACCAGTGCACAGGCAGCTGCAATGTGAGTGGCTAGTGCCCAGGAGCAGCCAGAGAGCTGGAGGACAAACACCTTGGCTTCCTTCTCCTGGAGGGGACAGTTCTGAGTCCTCATGCGAGTCTCCTCAGAGTCCACACCTCGGCTGCTCACGGCAGTGACTGCCCCCAAACTCACTCTTCACTGCCCCCACCTCCACACTTCCAGTCTCTCTTCCTCACTCCTTCACAGGTGCTTCCTGGAATCCCCTCTTAAGTCAACTGTGTGCCTCCAAATCCTTCTCTCAGGCCTGTCTGTGGGAGAACAAATCCAGACAAAGAGATGGACGTGAGTAGATGAGCTACCCTGAACAAGAGGCAAGTGGGCTGGAAGGTGAAAGAAGGGGATGAGGTAAGAGAGTGGAGGTCGGAGAAGAGCAGCTAGGCAAGAATGCGCACGCAGGGGCTCTGAGCATCACGGCCTTGTGCAATCCCCAGGCCTGCCCAGCTCCGTTTGGAAGGAGGCCACCTCAGGGTTTCCAGTGTTGGCATTCAAGGCTCACTCTTTGCTGTAGAGGCTGTCCTGTCACTGTAGAGTGATGAAAAGCATTCCTGGCCTCTACCCCCTAGATATCAGAAAGATCCCCCAGTTGTGACAACCAGAAATGTCCCCAGACACTGTTAAATGTCCCCTAGGGACAGTGGGGCAATGGTGCCTCTTGTGGAACTGGGGCACAGGGCTCTGAAAAGGTGAGGAGGCAGTTGCCCTCTGCCAGTGTCCCCTTCCTTTGCACATCCACGGACACGCCCCTTACCAGGTCCTCCTTAAGGCAGGCATCTGGCCAGGCTGCCTATCCCTGGGCCTGCTGGGATTCCCGCCCCCGCCCCAGACCACAGGGCTTGTTGGCCCAGTTGCTTTTCAGAGGCTGACCGGTGGACTTTCTTGTCTTCGACCACTAGATGGCCCCATTGCAATGCTGTACCCAGGAGACGGGGCGGCCAGAAAGGTTTTCCTTTCACCCAGCTGAAGAATTTGGTGATTGACGCATTTTCTAGTTGAATTCTCCGGACCCTTTCTATCCCCGTAGCCCAAAATACTGTATTTCTTCCAAGTGCGTTTCTGGGTGCAGCTGTGTGGAGAGGCAGCCAGGGCTTGGCTGTGAGCTCCTGCAAGCTCACCCCGGGCAAGTGTGCGTTCTAGCACCATCAGATCTTCCCTGTCTGCAAAGTCTTATTTCACAGGGCTGCCATGAGCGCTGAATGAGACACGACAAGTCAAGTGTGGAGCCCAGGCTGGTCACATAGAGGAGCTCAAAATATATCAGCAGTCCTTTCCACTGGAGCCTCTGCCTCCTCGACCTGCCCCAGTACCTATGAGGGTGGGAGCAGAGTCACTTTTCCTCTCTGGACCTCAGTTTACTCCTCTGAACGACAGCAGGGATGATGCCCTCTCAAGATACCCTCTAACTCCAGAATCCGTCTCTCTATTGAATGTGTGGGATGTGCCAGTCCAAGTTCAAACAGACGCTGTGTTCTCAGCACCTCATTTCATTTTCATAAAAACCTTATAGGAGGCACACTTTTCTTATCCTCATCTTACATAAAGGTAAACCAAGGCACAGAGGGCTCAATGGGTGGAGGAGGGATTCAAACCCGTTGTCCAGACCTGTCGCCCACATGGCTAACCACCCCGTAACCTGCAAGGAGAAATGGTCCTTGACGTGGCCTCTCTGTTCACAAAGCTTAGTTATTTAGCAAGGAGAGCTCCAAGGGCTTCAACTGCTTTGCAACTTGGGAGTCAGAGCAGGAATGGAAAACACCCATGAGCTGGCAATGTGTCCAGACCTTCCCGGGGTTCCTTGAAAGGGGGTATTTTTCTTGTATTCCTATGCAAGGGTTGGCAAACCCATTCTGTAAGAGGCCAGAGAGTAAATAGTTCTCTGTGTAGATGGCTCTGCAGGCCACTTGGTCTCTGTTGCAACTGCTCGACTCTGTCATTGCAGCACAAAAGCAGGCACGGACACAATGAAAACAAGCGGAGGGGCTGTGTACCAATATAACTTTATTTATTAAAGGCAGGCAGTGGCCTAGATTTGGCCTCCCGGTCGTAGTTGCCAACCCCTGAGCTAATGCAGCACTTTACCCCACACTTGTACTGAAGTGTCACTTGGGGCTTATCCAACCAAAAGCATTGCCCACTAAACGTGGACCGTGTCCCCAACACGGGATCCCCAGGTGGCCAAAGACAGAAAGTATTTGGTTTCATTGACAAGGTGTTTACAAGTGGATTATGTCAGACTGGGGCAGGCTGGGATGAGTGTCGGGGAAACAGAGCCTGGGGAGGTGCTCGGAGAATGTACTGACTTCTGACCTCTGGGTCTATCCCAGAGAGACTCAGGCAGACCACACAGGGAACACAGTTTCTCTGCCCAACTCTAAAAGTACACGACGTTGCCGGGCGCGGTGGCTCACACCTGTAATCCCAGCACTTTGGGAGGCCGAGGCGGGTGGATCATGAGGTCAAGAGATTGAGACCATCTGGTTAACATGGTGAAACCCCGTCTCTACTAAAAATACAAAAATTAGCTGGGCATGGTGGTGCGTGCCTATAGTCCCAGCTACTTGGGAGGCTGAGACAGGAGAATTGCCTGAAACCAGGAGGTGGAGGTTGCGGTGAGCCAAGATCGCGCCATTGCACTTCAGCCTGGGTAACAAGAGCGAAACTCCGTCTCAAAAATAAATAAATAAATAAAAGTACACAACGTGAAACATGGGAATGATACTGTCTCACGTCTCACTAAGGTGAGCTGCAGAAGCATCCTCTGCACGTGCTGGTGCACACCTGGGGAGGAGCCCACTTTGCCCTGTGCAGGGACAGAAGGGTCTGTCCAGAGCTCCTGCTTAGCTGCTTCTGGTGCCCCACGTGGTCCCTGTCCATTTACTGCTAGGGAAGAGTCCTGACTCTACTTCTGCAGCCAGTTGTAAAATTGCCCCAATTCAGCCATTTGCAGTGTTAAAACTCAGCAGTGGGTAGCCAGAGATGGGTTCTGACTTGTAATTCTACACGGGTCCTTGGCAAACATGAGAAAGTACCAACTCCTTGTTAGGAAAAAGTTTTCAGGGAATGATCAACATATCACATAAACCTGTGCAACTCCAGGAAGAAACATCTGGTGAATGAAACTCTTAACCAACAACAGCGTAAACTTCACACATTTAACACCAAAAACCCTACAAAACCGACAAACTCAAATGATCAGCATTAGTTTGACATGATAGATGGCATTTGGGGTGAAGCTAGGTTGTCCATGTTGAATAGTGGAAAGATGTCACTGAATTCTTCCCTGATGGACTGGCTCTAGTGACCTCCTATTATTATTTTCAGTAATTTTCCTGTTAATAGCGAACTCGTTTTAGCTAGTTTCATTGTGTTGATGGAGAAATCACTTCTAATCGTGCATTACAGAACAGAGTACTCCAGAAAGCAAAAGATGACCATAGGATGATAAAAGTTTCCTTTCATATGGTCTGTGTGGCAGGAGGCCACTTGCAAGGTGGTACATATGAAAGCATCCGGAGACAGCTATTGGCTCAGAAAAGAGAGTGGCTGGTCTCAGCTGTGGCCAGCCGCTGGGGAACTGATGAGCCGGTGACATTCAGTTCTTGCTTTCCCTCTTGTCCATGCATTATATGGTTTGTCCACATAGGCGGCTCCCAGCCAACTTGGTGACAAAGGCATAAAGGTGGATGCAGCTGGGCAGCTCTGCTGTTGGGCGGCATTAGGAGCCGGCGTGTGCCATGTCCTCAGGAAAACGGAAATGGACATTTTTGAGATTCTCATTTGAACTTGGGGGTCCCCAAGAGTACTTTGTCCTGTAAGCACAGCAACGGTGGCTTTTCCGTGCGACAGGCTTGGCGGTAACTGCTTTCCCTTAGAAGCGTAGGTTACCACGTGGACAATGTTACTTCACGTTCACAGTTTGAAGAATGTTGACTAGTTTGCATTCTGGTTTTCTACCATGGCTTCGCATTAGTTTCTTTCTTAAAAATGACTTTATGCCATCTACAGAGCCAATTGTTACCAGAGCAACAGTTTTCTGACTTTGATGTGAGTGGGAAATAATATTTCATGTATAGAAATTAGGTTGGAAATTTGTCCGAAAAATACACTTTCTTCAAAATTCAGTAGCTTTGTCTGTAGTTTTTGGTTTTGTTTTTCTGTTTGTGTTCATCGTTTAGGTCATGGAAACAAGCAATTCTAGGGGTAAAACCATGTGGAATTACGATTTCTATAGGTCGAACGTAGTGGCAAATGTATTAACACACGACTGAGTCTGATGGAGCACGGTTACGTCATCAGCTTTATTGATATGATGCGCAGGCGTTCTCGTTTAAAAAAAAAAAAAACTGCAACCAACAGAATGGGAAAAAAGTTTCACAGTTTACCCGTCTGATAAAAGACTAATGTCCAGCGTCTACAAGGAACTTGAACAGATTTACAAGAAAAAAACAAACAACTACATCAAAAGGTGGATGAAGGATATGAACAGACACTTCTCAAGAGAAGATGTTTAAAGCCCATCATCACTGGGCATTAGAGAAATGCAAATCAAAACCACACCAAGATACCACCTTACACCGGTTAGAATGACTATCATTAAAAGTCAGGAAACAACAGATGCTGGAGAGGATGTAGAGAAATAGAAATGCTTTTACACTGTTGGTGGGAGTGTAAACTAGTTCAACCATTGTGGAAGACAGTGTGGTAATTCCTCAAGGATCTAAAAATAGAAATTCCATTTGACCCAGCAATCCCATTACTGGGTATATACCGGAAGCATTATAAATCTTTCTATTATAAAGACACATGCACATGTATATTGATTGTGGCACTGTTCACAGGAGCAAGAGCTTAGAACCAACCTAAATGCCCATCATGATAGACTGGACATGGAAAATGTGGCATATATACACCATGAAATACTATGCAGCCATAAAAAAGGATGAGTTCATGTCCTTTGCAGGGACATGGGTGAAGTTAGAAACCATCATTCTCAGAAAACTGACACAAGAACAGAAAACCAGACACCACATGGTCTCACTCATAAGTGGGTGTTGAATAATAAGAACACATGGACACAGGGAGGGGAGCATCACACACCAGGAACTTTCAGGAGGAGGGAGGCTAGGGGAGGGATAGTAGGGGATGGGGGGGATAGGGAAGGGATAGCTTTAGGAGAAATATTAATATAGACGACAGGGTGATGCAGCAAACTACCATGGCATGTGTACACCTATGTAAGAAACCTGCACGTTCTGCACATGTACCCCAGAACTTAAAGTATATTTTAAAAAATAAAAATAAGTAAATGAATAAATTCCCCAAACTGTATTCTAAATCTAAAAACTAAATGTGAAGCTTCTTATTCAGAAAACAAAATTGCAAATCTGGCAATGTGATGGAGTGTAGGGAGAGCAGGAGCTGGCAATGTGATGGAGCATGGGGAGAGCAGGAGCTGGCAATGTGATGGATAGTTAGAGGCAGTTCAGCATCCCTGAGCAAGAGCCTCTTCCCCAGTGGCTGATGAATGATGCCGGGAGCAACACCTTTGCTGACTCCTGTCCTCGTCATCATGGTTCTGGAAGGTGTAGCAGAGACAAGTCGCCAGCGTGGCTTGGTTCTCTCACTTTGTAGCTTTCAGTTGGGGCATCAGCTGGAGCTTTGGTGGAAAGAGGTGAAAGGGCCTCTGGGTCAGAATTTCCCCTGCTTTGCAATTTCCCTCAAGTGTGAACCTGAGCAGGTCGAGTGTCCATTATGGACGACGGTAGCAGAGCTGACAGCAAGTTGAAAATGACCCAGCAGGGAAAGAATTAAAAGAATGTCACCTTTGTTTGCTCTGGCTCACTTTTCTAATACAACAGTCACCTTGACATTTCGAAAGGAATTTTTCAAGAGCCTACGTTTAAAAAGTATGCAACTTGTCCAAATAAAATGTTCAGGATCGCCAGGTGGGCCCCTAAATCTGGGCTGTGCCAGTCGTCTCAAAAAGGTGTGACTTGAATCTCATTTAACCAAAAGACACTATACTTTTGCTCATGAGAAAGTATTTTCCATTTCAGGTGACCGAGTCTGGGGTACCCACCTTTGACGAATGTCGGCACTGTCTGGGGCTTCTGATGGTTGCTCGGTGACCCTCGAGAAGCACATTCAGGCTTAGCAATCCCAGGGTTTTACTTCCAAGGTTGGAACAATACAAATGATTAACGTGTTCTGATCTCAAGGAAAGGATCTCTTGGTTTAACAAATAACATCAGATGTGAAAAGCAATGGAATTCCTCTTGTCTTTCAGTGTTGTCTGTTTGTGTGTGTAGAATTGGGTTTACTGCACATTTGTCTGTTGTAAAATTCTATTAGGCCTAACTCCATTAAAATACCCAACAGTGGCAGAACACAGCAAAGGTTTATAACCACA